GACTCGACAGACAGCTTATCCGACGAGAACAAATACCTTCACCGTGTTTTTACGAAGAACAACTACAACAACGACTTCATCCGACGAAACACTCACCGACCCACTACCACTACCGAAACAAACGACACCGCAACCCCTACGACTACAGCAACCATACCGTACATAAAAGGCATGTCTGAAAACATCTCGCGCATCTTACTACCCTTCAATATCCGCGTCGCCCACAAACCCATCACCACACTACGTCAGTTACTAACCAACGTTAAAGACAAAGACGAACCGAGGAACAGACAGGGAACGATTTATAAGATCAATTGTTCCGACTGCCAAGCCTCCTACATCGGTGAGACTGGCAGAAACCTCACAACAAGACTGACTGAACACAGACGGGCGACGAGGAAAGGTGATGTCAGCAATCACATTGCTGAACACCATCGACTTACCAACCACAACATTGACTGGGACTCTGCGCAATGCCTAACCTACAGCACTGACTATTTTCAACGACTGACTCTGGAAAGCTGGTTTACTAACTTAGAACAGACTCCCCTAAACAGATGTCAACAACTACCCGCTCCATACAAACGACTCATTCACGACATAAACATCACAAACGACCGAAAAAGAACGACCTAACTTTACCGACAGATCGAAACAGACCAATCACGACCGACTTACGTCACTTGAGTCTTACAGCCAATAACATCACGGCAAAACCAACCGATCATTTCACACGAACTGGAATAAGAACATTCTACTGACAACAATCATTCACTTGACTCTGATGATGACTTCCGCACAGGTTGTCGAAACGTCAGTCACTACCACCGACAACAGTCCTTCTCAGGACTACACTCACCCGGACGATCAGACTACACCTTCACATGTTACCCCCGGGTTCAAACCATTTACTGCACAACTGTTCTTCATCGGGTAGTTTGTCGTAAAATTTTAAATCATGTTGTTGCATCTCGCGGTATCCATCTTGCCAGACGCCATAACAGTGGTGAATGACGGTAGGGGGTGACACAAACAATTCACTCAAATGCGAGTCTGCCTTTTGGTCGAGCGTCGAGGGTCGAGTGTTACATGGCGAGAGTGAGGGTAATACGTCGAGGGTCCAGATTCTTCAAAAAGTGCGACTACAAATGTCAATTCTTCCGTGTGCTATCGTGGAATACCTTTTTTTCTAAGTTAGAGTGGGACCTCGCCACAAGGCTACAAAACTTCCGGCCTTTTCCTCCGATCGACTGATGAAATTATTCCGCCATTTTGCCTCACCCCTAGTGATGCGAAGACAGAAACAACGCTGTGACTCAGCAAATACAGGTTCATACGTGCTCATTTCCATTTGTTTGGCGAACTGTAAAAGTCTATTCCTTGAAAGAATTTGATTTTCTCGGAAAAATTGCGTTGTTTTTATTCTCGGAGTAGGCTTGTTTGAATAAAGTTTTTGTTTGGTCAAAGTTTTCCTATATGGGAAACGTGAAATTTTCCTGGATTTGCGATCGTCTAGTGATAATACCCAACGCGTATTCAAAACACTTTTAGCATATGTAAAATATTTACGATTTCGGGACTAAGTAGAGAATTAAAAATTATGAATGTTAATAAGAATTGTGTCGCGTTTTTGCAAAATAGAAACGACGCTATGACTCAAGAAAAAAAATTTAATTGTAACAGCAGATCGAATTTAACATGTTAAAACTGGTCTTACGGGGGTCCAGAAGGGGGGTCCACGTTTTGTACCAATGCTGTACCTTCACTCAACAATTCTTGTTAGCTATGATGGTACTTATTACTATTACTATTAATTGTTACTGAAATAGCTATCAAATGCCGTTCGAAAAACCGTATCCAGGGTATTTTTGCTACAGCTTAATGACGCATAATTATATTAAATTGAAATGAATTAAGAATATCGCGCTGTTCCTGATTTAAGGAAGCATAGACGGTATGGTCAATGTACACAAGTCCTGAGAAAAGAGGATTTTTCCTTGAAATGTGCGACGGAATCGGATGATAATATGTATTGCTAAAATCACTGATAAAAACTAGCTGTCCAGTTTGCTCGTTTCTCCTTGCTACTCTCCTGTCCACATGTTTGATGACTACATTTGTCAGTGGAGTTTTGTACATCAGAGAAAAGTCATTTCTGCAACCATAGCACTTTTGCACCTTACCGGGTGTTACAACAACCTCACACGCATTTGCTTCTCGACATTTTCCCATGCATCAACGGATATATTGCGCTGTTTTTTCCTCGTTTTATTATTTTTATCGTCTTGGGACGACGAAGAACCTTCCGAAAGAGATTCCACGTCACTCTCCAACTAACTCTTTTCCATTGTCCTTGCCTTCGATTTCCTGGAAAAATAGATCCATTTTAAAATACTAATTAAAGAAGTGATGCGAATAAATATAAAGACATACAAAATTCCCCCGTGTTTTGAACCTTTTTATCCTTTTAATTAAGGATAAAAAAAATCAAAATATCAATACAAAATATGAATACAAATTCACGCTGATCGCTATTAGGGCGTAAAGGGTTCTGTGCGTGATTTAAAAAGAAAAAAAACAACATTCAGATTATGAGACCATGAAGTAAGAATCCGCCAGAGCAGGTATTTTAGATGTTTTAACATCTATAAATATCTTAAACTTTTAAAAAACTTTTGGAACATGTAAAAAATTACTCCACTTGAGATTCTTTTGCCTAGGGATTATCACGCATAGAGCAAGTTCGGTATTAGTATTCCATAATACCAACTTAATACCTAGTTCTGGTTGCAGTTTATATTATTACGACAGACGTTAATTGTTTTACCTTCGAATGAAGAAAGTGGCTTGGTTCAATTGATCGTCGGTGTCAATGTCAGATTAAAGGACTTCATGAACGTCTTTCCCACAAGTGAGCAAGAACTGAGAGTGATTGTAACAAAGGGACCAGAAAATCAACTTCAGTTGAGGAGTTAAATAAGCTCACTTGTGAATTAAATGCTGAAAATTTAAAAATAAAACAAGGGTAACATTTCAACACTTTCCTGTGGTCACGGCCACTGGCTTATGCGTTCAAAATCACGACGGATGGAACGTTCAGATAATAAAAAGCCGAACAACTCTTCGGTATTCATTCGGTGTTTGGTGTGTGTATGGTGTATTGGGAAATCTTCAGGAAACCTTCGGAATATAATCGGGGATTTTCTTAAAAGGAAAGATAGAAAATGTCTTGTTTGTATTCTAAGCAAACTTTTCTCGGAAAGGACGACGCGAGAAATTCGAAATTTCAAATCTCAAACGTCATTCTCGCAAAACGCCAGTAACGAATGGAATCGGCTACGCTCGTAGTACAGTGTTAGTAATACGAATGATGGACGATCCTCGCAGTAGATAGCGCTATCTACTGCGAGGATCGTCCATCATACGTATCAAATACCGCAGTTCAAAATATATGATTTTCATATATTTATTCTATCTCAGTGTTAGTAATATTAAAAAATATTCTCGTGGAGATTTGTACCAAATTGCACGCCATGTGATTACCCATACTAAATGCATTTCAATTTAACTGGCATTTTCGCACAATTTGGTCTCTAAATTGTCATGACTTTGTCCCCTTCCCCCCTGCATTAAAACAAAAAAAGATTACACTGACCTGCTCGCTTTCTTGTTTTTCTTCTTCGGTGGTAAATCCGTAATGTCAATCACATCGATTGGTATTTGTGACATCTACGATTATAAAAAATTCAAGGATATTTACCACTTATTCCTTGCATTGGATATGAGGTGAGGTGAGGTGAGGTGTGGTGGTAGCGTTCGTTGTGGAAAAAAAAGCTTAATTCCCGGTTTTTGCAGTGGATGGGAGGAAGGGGAGTTTATTTGGAAGAATTATATGGTTCTCCGCATTTACTTGGTAGGGATCAAATGTACTCGGTAAGTGTGGAACTCCTGATTCACCTTCTTCCCATATTTCTTGCTTCACTTGTGTATCATTTTTCTGCCGCACAACCAAAAAAAATCATCGGAAGCGCTTTCAATTTAGCCTGTTCAAGGCATTAAGATTGTGAGAAATAGTGAAAAAGCCCCGCACAGCTAAAAAATCGCGCACGAGAAAAAAAAAGCAGACTTCCCTTTGCTTCCCGTGTCTCGCTCACTCCAATGAAGGGAGTAAAGTAACGACCATAAATATATTATTTCCGTTCTTACTGAACCTAAGTTCTTACATGCACATTACTGAATGTTTTAGCTTACCTTCCCACGGCCACGTGTATGGTGAAATCCAGGGGTTGTCTTATCTAGGCTGTCTTCAGATTCACTCTTGCATCTCTAAAATTAAAATTGATAAGGGCGACTAAGTTTTTGCCTCCAGGTTTTACCCTAATCGTCAGCAAAAAATAGAATGAACGGCAATGAACATAAATCTACTTACCAGCGGAACGTCATTAAGCGACGTCTCCAAGGAAACCCGCGTGGCTTCCTCGAAATCTTGCTTTTGGTAACGATACCAAAAAGTCATTGTCCAAAGGCGTAGATATTATTGCTTGCACGACGTCTGAATACGTTAGGGCACGTGCACCACTACTGATGCTGGGCTCAGGTGAGTTTTCCGACGAAAACATTTGGAAAATAACCTAAGGTCAGGTAGAAGATACACTTCGAAAGCAGGATCCGTATGAAGGTAATTAAACCTAAACCTTTCATATGATTTCCACGTGTGATTGACAGAATGGAAAGAATACAGTGACACCGCGGTCAGGGCGAATCCAGGGGAGTGGGGGGGGGGTCCAAACTTCGGTTCACAAAGGACTCTTGGACTCTTTTAAGGCAAATTGAATCAATTTTTTTTTTCTTGAGTCATAGCGTCGTTTCTATTTTTGTAAAAACGCGACACAATTCTCATTAACATTCATAATTTTTATTCGCTACTTGGTCCCGAAATCGTAAACATTTTACATATGCTAAAAGTGTTTTGAATACGCGTTGGGTATTTTCACTAGACGACCGCAAATCCAGGAAAATTTCACGTTTCCCATATTGGAAAACTTTAACCAAACGAGGACTTTATTCAAACAATGCATGTTCCGCGAATACAAACAACGCAATTTTTCCGAGAAAATCAAATACTTTCAAGCAATAGGCTTTTACAGTTCGCCAAACAACGGAACAATAGATGGAAATGAGGACGTATGAACCTGTATTTGCTGAGTCACAGCGTTGTTTCTGTCTTCGCATCACTTAGGGTGACGCAAAAATGGCGGAATCATTTCATCAGTCGATCGGCGGAAAAGGCCGGAAGTTTTATACCCTTGTGGCGAGGTCCCACTCTAACTTAGAAATCAAGGCATTCCACGATAGCACACGGGAGAATTGACATTTGTAGTCGCACTTTTTGAAGATTCTGGACCCTCGACGTATCACCCTCACTCTCGCCATGTAACACTCGACCCTCGACGCTCGACCAAAAGGCAGACTCTTCAAATGTTGTAGCAGCAATGATTTGGTGAAGCAAGTTTTACCGCATCCCGAAGATCCGACGATTAAAATACTACTGGGTGTTTTAAATTTAAAAACCTCACAACACCTTTGTGATAGATCCGAACGACAGGGTCGGGTCTGTTGCCACAGGTAGAATGGGTGGGTGATTCACAGTTGATGGCAGCCATTGATTTAGCATGATCCTTGAGTTCACACACGAATTTTTCTCTTGACGGGTTCTACTATCAGAACGCGTGAATGCTCGATTGCAGTAACGGCAAAAGTGTGACATTATCCGCTTAGAAGTTTAACTCGGTAATACTGCTCTCTATTTCGTGTCACAGCGATACTAATGAAAGATGTAAGAATCTCTTAGTTTTATTCATAGCATTTATCATTCACTCCGCGTGTAACCGCACTAACACCGCACTAACACCCACCACTAACACCACCACCATCACTAACACCATCACTAAACCCAGGAAGAACATTGGTCGGTTTACATGGTGTTTTCACCATTGTTCAGAGTTTGTTCAGATTCCGCAGTTTCCACCAGAGTGAGTGGTAAGATATCTTTGTTTTCTCTAGAGTTTGCCATTGTGTCTAACTTGGTGCAGAGTTGATCGTATTTTTTCTGTAATTCATCCAATTTAGTTTTAATCCGTGTGTGGTGAGATATCTTTGCTCTCTCTCTAGAGTTTGTCATCATGTCTAACTTGTTGCAGAGTTGATGGTATTTTTCCTGTAATTCAGCCAATTCAGTTTTAACCCTTATGTGGTGAGATATCTTAGGTGTCTTTTCTTTCCCAAGACTTCCCTCCTGTTGTTGTCGCTCACTTTGACTCTGTTCTAGCAAGGATTGATAGCTTTCTTTCTGTGCAGCAAGATTCTTTTCAATTTGCTGAATTCTCTGATCTAGCACCATACATTCTGCTTGATGGTATGCTTCATCGACAAGTTTCTGAGCTTCACGACTTTGCATCTTAGGGTAGCCCTTCAATGATTTCCATCGTTTGGGAAACGTTCCATTCTCAGCATGTCTTTTATATTCCTTTAACACATTTTCCTGACACTTTACGCGAGCATGAACAGCCTGCATTTTTTGTCGACATGTCTTTAGAACTGCGGATAGATCCTGAGTACTCGTCATCGTCAGCACACTACGTGAGCATGTAAGAACTGAGTGTGGTAGCAGACGCTTCGAGTTTTAACCTTACGTATACCTCCTTCTCCGGCACATGAGCCATGGCCGACCTACCATGGCTCGACCGACCGACCGACCTTCTCCGGCGCATTATAAAATAATGGTCCCCAATAAGAATACCGTTCTGGCGAATTCAGAATAGCCTCTGCAATAATAGACGCATACCTCACCTTTTTAGACATGTTTTAAACTCAGTGTTGCTATCTTGCTCGCTATCACTCTTTTACACCCTATGCAAGATTTTCATTGGTCTATCATTCGATTGACACACGTCATAATTCAGAACGACCAATTGTTCATTTTCCGAGAATTTTAAATACTCATGAGAATTATACAAGTTCATCTACGAGTTAATTATACAAGTTAATCTACAAGTTAATCTTTCAAATCGGCACTCTTAATTCCACAGGTAGGAACGAACGCTTTTCATTCCACTAATTTATTCGTGTTTTTCCCGTTGCCATGTTCCCACCAATGGCGTACCTCCGCTTCTCTATTTAAACCCACATACAACCCACAATTCCTCCATTTGCTCTGACGAAGGGCTAACGCTCGAAACGTCAGCTTTTTTAATCGTTACGGTGGCCAATTTACAATTTCAACTCTGTTGATATAACCAAATTATCTTGATACCCCCACCAACGCAGCACCACGGTTTCTTTAGCAACTTTTAGCCTTTATAAATTTTAATTATCCCTTATTGTTCATTTTCTGAGAATTTAGAATACTCATGGAGAATCCAGAATAGCCTTTGCGATGACAGACGCATATGTCTCCTTTATAGAGATGTTTTAAACTCTGTGTTGCTATCTCGCTCGCTACCACTCTTATACACCCGATGCAAGATTTTCATTGGTCTATCATTCGATTGACACACGTCATAACTCAGAACGAACTATTGTTTATTTTCCGAGAATTTTAAATACTCGTTATCCCTATTGTTCATTTTCCGAGAATTTCGCGGTAAAACTCTTCTCCCTCGTTTGACCATTTCCGTTCTCTGTTCACTAGCCTTTGATGTATCGAGATGCTGTTTCTGTCTTCTTAAACCATTCCGTGGAATTGTTCACATGAATACATTTTAGCTTCGTCCAGATCTTTAGCATATCCAAGAAATGCTCTCAATGCTTTTATCGCGTTGTTTCTTTTATCGCAGTACTCTTGATTTTGATACGAAGAATCCACTTCATCTATGTCAAACATTTTTTCAATGTCAAAGACATCTGCATGCGTTTCTATGTAATGCAATATCATATCGATACACATCATTCTTTTGCAGGGTCTGTGTCTAACTTTTCGATCGCTGCTCTTATCTGTTCCATGGTCTCCGATGTAATAAAATTTTTCTTCTACCTTTACCTCTATTTCAAGTCGCCGTCACATGACACTAATACTTTTCTATCGAGCATAAACCAATAAAATCCCTTGACGCATAAATGACCTCATCTCTTTTTTGCATATATTCCGTGTCTGGTAAATCTTGAAACTTCCATTCTTTTACCATGATTCTTCCTAAAATTTTTAAAATGTAACCAAGATGCCATCCTACCTGATGCTTTGACGGCTGCATGTCGACACTGATGACTAGTTTACGTGCACATACACGATTTCATACATGATTATTCTCGCTTGGACTCAGGCCTCTCGGGATTCCCGATACACAATATAATGTTTCGTGACTGTTTAAACCACACCATGACATTCGGTGTCTTTTTACACCCTATATTTACTTACTTTCACAAATCTACATGCGTAAAGTTTTTACACACTCGTTGCACAACCTTCGTACAAATACACCCGTTTCATATATAAATGTTCACCAACCCTGCGCCTCTACAACAACTAAAAACGTCCGCAGCGCGCAACTAAATACAATCATAAACTTAAAATTAAACCCTAACCCTCAATACATTAATATTAACCCTAATTTCTAACCCTAACCCGTCTACCAACACGATTTAACACTAGCCCTAAACCACCCTCCTATTACTCTCGGCATTCGTCCGCCATCTTGAATTTATTGTTACTCTTGTCCAGCTTCGGAACCACGCAAGTTTGGCGTACACAGACGGCCCTATACTGCTGAATTTAACTCTATAGAGTTCTCAGTCCATGAGCTTCCAGACCCCGAGTTCTGAGAGCGTTCGCTTTTCCCTACTTGGGCACGAGATTGATTCCTAAACTACATGGCGTGCCAGAAAAAATTATGGAATCTTCAACAGAAGATTTCAGGGTGCTAAAGTCTGGAATGATATAAGTGAAGACATAAAGCTTCTTCCTCTAAAACGTTTTAAGAAAAACCTTAAGCTAATTCTTCTTAATAAATATTAATTATTTTCTGGCCTTCCTCTTGTTGTTTACTCTAACATTCCTTGCTTCCTTGACCTTGTTTTGAATGATGAATGAGTGTGTGTGTGTGTGTGTGTGCGTGTGTGTGCGTGTGTGTTGTGTGTGTTATCTGACCCAAATAATCACATTACATAAATCACCTAAGTATAGCTGCCCTTTTTTCTAGCCCCTATGGTTATTTGGGGCAGCTAGTACTCCTTTATATTCTTGACAATTTATCATTATTTTTATCAGTATTTTTTATGTTGGGTACAAATAAAGTTGTTGTTGTTGTTGTTGTTGTTGTCGTGGCGGTGGTGGTGGTGTCGCAACCAGAATTTACTTTATTAGCTATTATTAAGCACCTGCAGAATTTGCTCTGCATTCTACTATACTTCTATTGCTATGTTCACCTCCATACAATTATAATCGCGTTTCTGCGTGGAGTTACGTTAGAATTGGGTAACTCCTTCGGTTATTTAGCGTATTGGTTTCATTAGATCTCATTAGGCCAGGATAATTTCTGTAGTTAATTAATTTGAACCGGGTCAAGCGTTTCATAACGCTAGTTTTTGCTTGCGCCGTGTTGCTTTTATCTAAGAGTTTTACTGCCGGACCTGGTTACGCCACAAATGGTAAGTTCCCTTCTATTTCAATTAGGTTTTGTCGTTGTTGTTCTTGTTGCTTATATTTTCTAGTAAGATACTTGAATTCATTTGTCTTCATCCGAATCACATCTAAATACATGTCCATTTGGAAAATAAATTAACTTGTGTGCATTGACTCTGTGGCGTTGAATTTGTAGTATTTATCTACATGTGGATCAATTTTCTTATCGGTTCTATATGTCTCTTCCTTAAAACTATACATTTTTCAATTCCACCAACAGTACTATGGATAGAAAACCTCATCCGAACGTGCTACTGAATTAATCTATCGATTTACATGTAATATTTATAAATAACATTCACTCTCTATAACTTTGCCACTAACCTCTGAGCTTTGAGCTTCTTCCTCCATGGTGAAACCCATGGGTAGGGGAGCAGCTGTCGTAATCTCAATGATGTACAAGTCTGTGCTTCTTCTTCTCCACACTCTTCCAATCTTGTCACAAAGGCAGCCAAGGACAAGAAGGTTAAAAAGAAGAGCGTCCAGACCACGTCTCATCTGAGAGGAGAAAAAATATTTCTTTTGAAAGGTGGCTTTAACTTTTGCCCTTTTGACTGTAATTCGACAGGGGAACATTAAGATGAGAGCACTCAAACTGTTAACAAGCTTTAATTCTAGAGTTGTCATTAGTGTTTCCCTGGATGCATTTGATGACACCAAATTTCAATAACAAAATAACGTTCACTCAAGATCCTATCGACAGCACTTCTTAACGAAGTGTTGATCTTGCCCTTTGACATAAATGATGACACGTACCGGTTAACTAGGAAGTAAAAAAAACGGCCACTGGGATCAAGTTAAACTTCTTTAAGACTCGCATGCACTTAGTTTCTTACCGAAGGCGACACGTCTAGATGAAAAATACGGGACAGCGGTACATTGACCTTCACCATATGCGGTAGAAGCGCATCTACAAGCATTGATGAGTCGGTGGAGTTCCCATGAAGAGGTACGGTCACGTGCAAGAATGTTTTAGAATCTTGTCCTCGCCAAGTTGTCATAACCATGTCGTTGTTTACAAGGTTGGGCAGCTGTTCTGTTAAGCGACGAACGTACAAAGTCTTCCCTAAACCTCCTCGGTGTGATGAGACAATTCGGACACAGAGGCTGAGAAAAAGAGGATAGTTAACCACACCCAATCTCATCGAAAGGAGAGCAGCCGTCACTTGCATCGAAGGGATAACCTTTCTCGGGGCACTTTACAAGTTACGAGTTACGAGTTTACGAGGCTCCACTATCACAATTTTAAAAACATCACAAAAGAACTTACTTTTCTGGGTCTAAAGATCCAGCTGTCGTCCAAGTAATCTTACTACTACCGATGTATCCGCCCTGAGAAGGAGGTGCTTTGAATTGATGCTTGAGGTAGCCTCTCAAGTCCTCTGGTGAAGGACAAGGTGGAGCAGCAACACGATACTGATCAAGAGCTGCTATTACGTTGGCACGGTCTTCATTTTCGCTACTGCAGATTACCACCAGACCATAATCTGCGAAGTAATAAAAGTCACTCGTGGTTTTCAAGGGAATAAAGGCTGATAGTTTCGAAAGAGACTGTTTGGGGCTGCGTCAGTAGGAGTAACGAAATAATTTGGATATATCAACAAAGTTGAAATGGTAAATTGGCCACCATAATGATTACAAAAGCTGACGTTTCGAGCGTTAGCCCTTCGTCGGAGCGAATAGAGGAATTGTGGGTTGTGTGCGCTTTTAAAGGCAGAAAATGGAGCTACGTTATTGGTGGGAACATGGCAACGAGAAAAACAAGAATAAATTAGTGGAATTAAAAGGGAAAAGGGAAAGCACGGTAAGATAATATGTACCCATTGTCTCCGCATTCCCGGTGAAGCAATGCATGTCAGTTAGCTTCAAGTGCCAATTGACCCCCCAACATGTTTTTTCTATAATAAAGATTTCTCTTTATTTTCGTGATAACAAAGTCGACAAAAACATTGTCGGATCTATTTTATGAATTTTCAAAGATCCTAAATTGGCCTCCTTCATGTTCACGACCGAAAAATAGCCACAATAGGGCTGCTTGGTTAATGACGTCATCCCGGGAACTGATTGACATTACTCATATGATTAAATAAGAAAGCAGACACTGCAGCCTAACAAAGAAGAATAAAATTATGCCCGGAAGGTGTGTGTTGTTGGAGGCTGTAGCAATACAACTTCTTTAGAAATGATATCCGCCTTCATACCAACTTATATTTCGAAGAACAACTACCCTGAAGCGAAGAAATGTAGAAGAAAATAGGTAGACCAGTGCGACTCCCGCCATTCACAAGCGATCTAAAATCTTCTGTCGTCAAAGTTAAGCTTTCAATGACTTTTCTTTCATTAAAAATTGCTCGTCAGCGAGGCTGGTTTTGAATAAGGTGCCATTTACCATCAGTATGTTCTTGAGGTTACATGTATGAACATCAGTGTGTTCTTGAGTCCACAGGTGTAATTTCTAGGGCAGAGTTATCAGCTGTGAGTTTGTTCATCAGTCAGTTGTATATTTGACAGGTTCCTGATGTGCAGTGCTGCTTGCGTGATTCAGTCACTTATCCTTTCCCCTTTGCCTATCTTTTCTTTTGCGATTTTAAGCGTTTTTTTTTTTTTCAATTTGGGTTAGGTTTCACCCTTGTTGTTCGTTTCTGAGGAGGCAGAAAATGCACACGTACAAGATTTAACCTCTCTTTTGGCTGTTTGTACTCTCAAATTTACAAGAAGCTTGTCGACCCCGTTCAGGTTAGCTTTCGATTCTAAGGCAGATTTGCTTACATCAATCTCTGTTACATGGATTTAATCTATGGCCACTGATTGTACGTTCTTTGAAAATTCTATTAAGTTTATCTTTTAAGCTATTGCTTGCTCTAGTTTTCTAAGCTTAGCAATAAGTTTCCTAACACGTCTTTGGTGAAATTTCATTCGCGCTTCCACAAAATCGCGCCCTGCTTTCTTTCTAAGATCTTCGAATCGAGCTTAGGCTTCTTGGGCATGTACCCTTCTCGAGTTGAGTGGTAGTGTCAACGATTTCTTCGCTCCATTTTATCGAGGCTTCGCTTTCGGCGCGCAAACGATCCTTCCATCTCCGCGTAATATTGCTAAAGATATGAAGCTTTGGATGCTTCAGAGTCGTAGACACTGCCTGTATTTGAGTCTCTAGATGACATGCCTTTATTTAGGTATTTTATGAAGGGTCTTAAATTCTAAAGAAAGGGTCATTCCCGAAAGGATTTCCTGTCCTGGCAACACCGTATTTATGCCTTTCATTGCAGCCTCGTTGCGTGATTCCCGGGGTGACCTAACAACCTTCTCTGACCCAGGTCCAAAGATGTGCGGTCATGCACTTGTAGAATTGCGAGATTTTATTTGATTGCGATAATTCTTGGACTGAGATGATCAGTAAAAGGAGGAGATTTATTTTATCGTAAAACGTTTTTGAGGGTTTAGTGGCACTTAAAGTTGAACGTACGTTCTCCAGCCTTGCCAGCAAGTCCCTGTGTCACTACGCTTAGTATGTGCACTGCTTGTTTACTGACAGAGAAGTCCAACGCATCTGCATGTACGAGGCAATAAAATCGACCCTCCACGTCCCCTATGGCACGTCTCCACAGCAGTTCGATCTACGTCAAAGGAAAACAGATAGATGAAAAATACAAATAACAAAGAGTTGTGCCACTCAGCTAGGGCAACCATTTAACAGTTAGGACAATGAGCAACTCATCCATAGGAGGGAAATTCCCCTGCCTTCCTCAATGCACAACCATTAAATTCCAGAAGTGGTATTCTAAGCACATACGCTCCACAAAGGCTAATTTTGCTATTAAACATAAAAGAAAAATTAAAAAATATGTAGATGAAATTATTCCAGCAAGTACACTGTACCTCTTCTGTAGTGGTATCGGGAGTGCAAAGCAGTACCTCTTCGTGGCTTGGCAACGGCTGCTTCTTGTCATGCATATACAGGGCGAGGACTGTAGCAAGGATGTCATCTATAAATAAATGGGTACGCAAAAGCTCAAATCGTATTGTAAGAAACTCGCTATTATGCTCACTAAATGGTAGCTAGAACAAAATTAATTTAGTAACTTGACAATTTAAAGATCGTATTAATTAGATGCTCCTTGGGTTGCAACTTGACTTACCTTTAGGAACAAGCATGAGGTTGGGTCGTCCTCTTTTCAAGAATGCTGGAAAGGTGCGAGCTGTTGCTCCAATTCCTGAAAAAATGAAAATCATACCAGACTTATGGTCCAGTCAATGGAGATACTTCTGAGATCACAGCTAAGGACTTTCCATAAGTAAAAGTAAGTGTTTTACCTAGAACGGAAAGTTCCTTAAGGATTTTCCCAAGCTGAGTGAGTGTAAGATATTGACTAATCTCTGCCTCGTTATCTTCGTCTTTGCTAACCTCCTGATCTTCTATAATGGTTTCAGCGGACGTAGATGACATCCTCAGTACCATGGCTGATTCGGTTTCGTTTTTACTAGAGGAAGTAAAAAAATTCACCAATTGATTGTGGCTTTCGCATATTATTACGAATACAATCAAGTTCACACCATTCCATTAAGGTTAGCGCTAACATTATTAGTCGAATTAAAATACTTTATATAAATCTTCATTCATGTCCACTGTTCCATTGACTTTGTTCGTATTACTAGCATACCGTAAATCTTCCGCTTGCACTTCCTGCTCAGCTGACTCAACTTTCTCTGGGAAGATTTCTCGGGCAATCATAGGATTTTGCTTTGCATCTTCGTACAACGCTTCGATGTCAGCCTCGTCGGCATCTTCTAGACACCACAAAAGGAGATCACACTCTTCTGCATCAACACCCAGACTCGCCAAAGCCGCCAGCGCGATCTGCTCCGAGTAACCATGATCGGTAGCTGCATTCAAGAAACTTTGAATCTTAGACGTCTCCTTTGGCCTTGGTTTCTTGACGGACGCAGGTTGAACTTGCGACGCACTGGTTGCTGTCGAGGAACTCGCTCCTAAATAGTTGTTGTTGTCAAACACAGACCTGCGTGTAACCATTTCGTCTGGTGTAGGGAAGTGAGTGAACGAAGGCGGCTCCACTGTGACTCTGGCGTTTTCCAATAAGTCTGTGTCCTTAAAAGCGTGCTGTATTGCTAATTTTAACTGTTCACTGGTTAAATTGGGACGAACGCTCTCGAGCAAAGCGAGCACTTGGATGTTGCTCATGATAAGACTGTTGCTGTGGCAAACTGTCGCAATCTCCTTCCTGAGCGTCATCAACTGTTGTGTTGTGAAGAAGTTCAATTCTGTATACTCCTTCCTTGCGTCCTTGACCTTCTTCTTCCAGTTCAAGTAACACGTTTCCATGCATGTGCTCTCCTCTTCCAGTTCTTTTGCGATAGATTCACCCGTGACTTGGTCTTTGCTGCAATGAAATTCTTGATTCCAACCCATGCGATGAACGTAACCGGAGTCAAAGAGGTCAATGTATGCAGTCGCTAAGCGCATAACACCTTCAAGATTCTGTGATTAGATAAAATAACTTTGTTCGCCTCTAGTAACATCAACTTTGAGGATACCTGTCCACGTTATATTCGCAAACACTACAATACTGCAGATTTAAACCAGAAATTGCACATACATGTAACTCAATGAGTCCGAATATATGAAAATTACATGTGTACTGCAGTTTCAAGAAATGCATGAGAGCGATCCTCGCAGTAGTAAACCTTACTTATGTAGTAGTGGAAATGAAGCATGAAAAGAAAATTCAGGCCCGTACGGGATTTGAACCCGTGACCTCTGTTGTAGCTAACAAGCCAACTTTTTCAGGCCTTATTTCTACTACTATACAAGTAGGGCTCATTAGTACGAGGATCGCTTTCATACATTTCATGAAACCGCAGTACACATAAATGATTTTCACATATTCATATTCACTGATTTATCACTTCGACGGGTTTAATACGAACCAACATACAAACAGCTTGTTAGCTCAGTTGGTAGAGCCCCGCACCGGTATCGCAGAGGTCATGGGTTCATTCCCGTACGGACCTGAATTTTTTCAGACCTTATTTCCACTGCTACATGAGTAGGGTTCTTTACTGTGAGGATCCCTTTCACACCTTCATGTAACTCTTGCCTAATTACATGACCAACTAAAAAAAATCGAAAGTGCAGACCCAAACACGAAATATCGACTAGCTGATTGGCATGCGGGACTCCCCTTTCCGTGTTTCATCGTTCCTAAATTGTAATGGAAGCTCAGTACTTCTCTTCATTGAGAAATTCTTTGATACAGACTTTAATGTTACGCGTGACTTACCCTCACAAACAGTTCCACGTCATCCTTCCCTTTTTCAGCCTTTCCTGCGATCAACATGAGTTTGCTCTGTAAATCCTTCAGTTCATCAATGGAATAGGTTTTCGTCTGCTGCTCTTCGCTCTCACCCTTTAAGGTTACTGTTAGTCGTATCACGTCTTTGGATAACATTCGTTTTCCTTGTTCTGGTGACGGACCCTTTATGGTGTCCAAGTGACCCACAACATACACACCACTCGAGTTGATGTTCTTAGCCTGTGTTAATGACGTCATGGCAACCGAACCGTGAGACTCTTTGACAGTTTTCAGCCACTCCAGATGTCTGCTGGTATCACACTACGTAAAAATGAATAGAATGTTCATCAATCATGTAATTTCTCATCTTCCTTTGTTTTCAGTCATGTCTTGAAATGAATTTTAAACATTGGGAAATGCGTATGTTAGTGTTAGAGTTGCAAGTACAGGGGGAAATTGAAAAAAAATTGGGTCGTTAAACTAACCCCAACTGTGACATGTGGTTGATCCACGAACGTTTTAAAGATAAGAACTTAATTACTTGGGATCTAGTAACGACAACAGAAGTGACTCAGACAACTTTAAACTTGAGGTTATGCGCGCACAATAGACAGGGGTATTCCATACAAGTTCCATATTTAAACTTCCTCTGCAAGAGTCGAAGGAGGTGAAGACAAGCAAGACCCTTAATACAGAAACATGCACGTTACATTACTAGAAAACACTGCTCCAATTTCCTATCCAAGTACTTTACCAATTTCGTGGGTAACATTGGATCCGTCTCCACTGCTTTCCATACGGGTTCACAAGCTTTTATCAGTTGGTCAAAGCTCACTTTGTCGTCTTCAGTTTCTTTGAGGTCAAATATCAGAGGAGCGAAACCTAAGCAGCTGGTATGTAGACTGGTTATACGTTTAGTTTCCATGTCGCTTTCACCAGCAGAGATCAAGGCCAAGTCAACAAGAACCTTTAACTCTTGGGTGGCTGTAAAACGAAAAAGACTTAACGGTAGTCTATATTTCCTTGAGATCGCACTCCGTCAACCCACCCATTACTTTTCGCGCGATTTTATCATCTTCTTTATATCACGTGATGCAAATCACCGGATAGCTATCACACGATAACCCTCCTCGACGTTGATAGTTGTCTCCGATTGTTTACGTCGACAAAAAAAACTGAGCTCAAAACCTCGTTTTTAAGAATCCACTGGTGGTGATAATTAAAAGCCAGTCGCAAATATGCATCCACCACCATATCAACACTGGCTTTCTAACGAGTGTTTTTCGTACGAGACAAAAAATTAATTGATGGGTTATAAAACAAATAAACTCTTGTCAGGCTTGCTGGTATGTTGGCTGATAATGTTCTCTGAGAGATTGTCCTCAAAATTTCACATTTTCCCCTGAAGCTTCGCTTCTCAGCCAAAAATTCATTTTTGGGACAATGTCTTAGCCGTAGACATAATCAGCCGGCGTACGTGCCCCCGAAAGGATTTACCTACTAAACGTACGATCGCTTTAAAGAAAATTGTGCAGATATTAGCAATATACGGAATTTTTTACCTACGACCATCTCTCCCACTTTGACCGATAAACAGATAGCACATTACTGTTTGAACGTAAGTTAGGTACGCAATGACAATAACGTAAGTAATAAAGTAAATGCTAGAATAGTCAGTAGAATATGTAGAACGAATTTAAAAAAGAACTGTCCAACCCAATCGTGTCAATTATTTCAAAACCCACAGCCTCACTGCTGAACAAAGACCACTAAAAAACCCTATGCAAGAAAAAAGTGCCAAATTAAGAGAATTTGGCAGCATTGGTTCGTGTGTATTTGTCTCAATTTCTGCGCCTGGTTGGCAGCCCAACTCCCCAACTTACATTTAATAGTAGAACGTAACCACTCCACTAGTAGTTTACTGTGTACAACGGCTTCGAAGCACTGTGCTTTATCGACGTCCAAACACTGAAGAGCGCGACCGGCCTCAGAAAAATGTTCCCCAATGCTTTCTAAGGGCTTTTGCTTGAATTCTGTTAATAGCTAAACGATCAAATAGCAAATATAACTAATCATACTAAAAACTGCAGTTTTACCAAAGCTCATATCTCTCAAGCTAAGGGAAAAAAAAAAGAATTGGGGTTACCAAAAGACCAATTCTTAAAAATTCCCAACGCTCTTTAAATCCAAAGGCTAAGTGCCAATATACTTGAACAACAACAAACAGAATTCCAAGTTCTGAGTTCAACTATTCAACATGTAAACGGACAGATTTTGACCATCGTTTACACATTTCCTTTAATTCAAAAATCTCGCCTTCAACATTCAAAAACTTTCTCTGCACTCTCTAAAAAAGAAAAAATCAAGCTAGATTTTTTCAATCAAGCACAAACAGTTCTTTTCGGCATTTGACAGTCTGAATGACATCTTAACATATGCAGATTGCTCCTATTTTGGCCACATACTTTACAGACGGGAAATTTACTTTCTACAATAACTTATATGCCAACGTTAAATCTCACCCAGAAGCAATCTTCATATGATATGGGTTTTGTCCTGTCTGTCAAGCTTCAAAGTATATTCGTTGTTTGAGATTGGGACAGCTTTTCAGGCAACAGACAGGTCATTCCGATCATAAAACAAGAGTTACAATAAAAACTAAAAGCTTTACGAAAAACTAGATTTTTCCATACCGCACACCTCAATGTCCCAGCTAATGAAACTGATTTCCTCAGACAAGCAAGAAGTTAAACCTCTCTACTTTAGTCGGTAATTTATGATGACTAAATTACCTGATTACGCAGATCTTCGACAACTTTGAAGTCCCCGGTAAAGTCCATTGCCTCCTTGAACTTCCAGATGGTGTCAGCCGCATTAGCGTACTGATGAAGTTGTTGGTAACGTTGAATTTGGGCAGCTCGCGCGGCGACGGTTGACTGTAATTCTTTGGTGTTCGTAAACCTTTGGTCTGTGCCTACTTTAAACATGTAAGACAACTCTTCCTCAAGTTCCTTTCTGCGGTTTCTATAGCATTCAAAAACCTCGTCAACATCTACAAGAAGAATTGTCCCATTCTTGACACTAGCAACATGTTGATTCCAAAGTTGAAAAGATGGTTTCCAAACATTTTCAAGGACATCAGAAAAGCTAAGGTGTTCTTTTCGAGCTTCGTCATTCCTTCTAGCTGCCTGTGCCTTATTACCGTATTTTGTCCAGAGATCTTGGAACGTTAAGCTCTTTTGGACTCTTCTTAAGGTCGAAAGAACTTCTTTGACGTCAGGGGGAAGTTTGAAGAAGGTGATTTCGATCTGGTCATCTTCTTTTCGTTTGCACAATTGTTTAATCTGGAACTGAGATGAAACATCTTTTGGGGCTTTTTTCTTGAGGAAGGTCAAATCGACTGCGGGAAAAAGATTCTATTAATCATTAAATTCACCGTATAAAAGTTGTAGTTGACCAACTACCTGACTATTCCTATCCTGAAGACATTAAGTCTTCGGAGACAAAGAAAATATATTCATCATCATTGCGAAAAGCAGCTAGAAACAACATCATCATCCCCGAACAAACGCAGACTATTCTAAAAACTATAGCGGAACACTCAAGGAACGCCAACTTGGGAACAACTTTCTATCAGAAGTCTAATATGCTTCTTCAATTCATAGTACCCTCTTTGGTCTTTACACCCTAAATGAAATTTTTAATTGAATCACATTATACAAATGTGCAACAAAGTTTCAATTCCTATATTCGCTCCGACGAAGGGCTAACGCTCGAAACGTCAGCTTTTGTAATCGTTACGGTGGCCAATTTACCATTTCAACTTTGTTGATATATCCAAATTATTTCGTTGCTCCCACCGACGCAGTCCCAAACAGTTTCTTTCGAAACTATCAGCCTTTATCAACAGAGTTTTAGCCTTACATTTAAGAAATGCAATATCCATTATAATTATGTTACACAAAGGAAGAATCAGGGGCTGTCCCCATTCAGTCCACAAGGGCTGACAAGAGTTCATCAGGCTCCTCTACAGGGAATCTGTTCTTTTGACTAATAGACCCTTTGCAAAATTCAGTCCTAACGTTTCCGGTTAAACGAAAAAGAGGCTACGGATGTATCCTATAGCATAACTACTGTTGGGCATCAATGAATGTCAAAGCGAAAAGGAAATATTTGCTTGCAAATAGAATTTTTATGCTTCTTCTCCCCGTTGTGTACTTTTTATTTCTTTTGGGGGCCTGGGACTTGGGGTGGCATTTATTTGGATTATACCCAATACCCTTTAGGATACTTGTGCTTGCCAAGTGACCAGGCTCCCATGTGAGCGTCACTCCGTTCCATCTTGATGGTGGTTAAAGACGTGGTTTTTCATCGTGGTTTTTCATCGTGGTTTTTCAT